CATTTTATTTTTATGAAACACATTTTTATGTGTGCTTTAGTTTATTTATTTTATTTATTATTATTTTCTTATTATAATACTAAAATTTGAAAAGCATATAATGACAAAATTAATCTAAACTTATTTTAAAAAATTATATACTAAAAAATTAGGTGTTTAATAAAATAAGGTAGCAATATATTTTGTTAACAATAACATAAATTAAAAGAAGAGCTGATGAGTAAAGCTGGTTAATTATATGCATGCTTGTAATTATAAATTTTTATTAAACTCGAGTTTCAATCCAAAATATTTTGTTTATTTACAGAACAATATAACCATGCAATTTCTGCATCTAAAACTGAAAGTTGCTCTATCGAGTGATATAAATATCAATTTTTAAAGAAATAGAATATATATGCGTTTCAGTTAAGAATATAATATTACTTTCCTTCTATAACTATTGCATCAACGAAACTTTACATAATACATTATGAATTAACAATTACATATTTGAATATTTAAAAAATTTATTAAAAAATGTTAAGATTTTTGCAATTATCTTATTATACAGGCTGTCCCACATAACTGTGATCACGATTTTTCTGGCACTTCCGATGATCTGACAAAAATTAGTTTGGATAAAAGTTAATCAGTTTTCAATCGGCTACAAATTGCAATATTACAAATTTGCAAAATCTCTTTTTTAGGAAAAAAGTCACCATAATTTTTTTAAGTGGCACTACATATTTTTTACTTCATAATATTGTAACTGATGTCAAGACGAGTTCAATGATCTGTTATACTATGATCTTGAAATGACCTTATAGTTGTGGAATTAATGAACGGAAGCGTTTTCGTGAAAAATTAATTTATTTGTATTAAATTTTTTATATGGACTACAGTAGAAAAAGATTTTTGTATCTGCTACTTTTTCACAGACATGGATTCTTATTTTTTAAATGAAACTACATACAAAACAACAAATTATAAACAAAATGTTGATAAGGATTGATAAGGAAAGTGTTACTGTTGCCCTTGACAAGGACGCCTATGTATCGAAAATGGAGGAGATTCTTTCAGACACTAACACTTATGTAATCGTTAATAAAGATCCAAGTAAGAAATTGATATTTAATAACAGAACTTACAAACAGATATTCGGTACTCCAATGGGTTCCACCGTTATCGCCGATAATCGCCGATGTAATGCAAGATCTACAAGAAATAACACTTGAAAAATTGTCAGTACAACTATTGTTTTACTTTAGATATGTTGATGATGTCATTGTTGCACTTCCATCTGATACTATCAATGACTTTAAATATTTTTAATTCTTTACATACGAGATTGCAGTTTACTTTAGAGGTTGATACAAGTGGCAGATTAAGTTTTCTTGATACAATGTTTATTATTAGGTGTTGGAATTAATTCGTAGCGTTTTTAAATGAAAGAATGTTATTTATTTCACATGAGCATTAAAAAATACATTAATGAAAGTACTTCCCATCACTTGTAAAACGCTACGAATTAATTCCAACACCTAATATAGATAATATCAGATAATTATATTTGACGTTTATCATAAAAAGACGTTTTCGGAAAGATTCCTTAATTTCCATTCAAATCATCCTCTTTGCTATAAAAAAGGCACTATTATCAGCTTTATTGACAAAATTATTTTCTTATCACATCCACTGTTCCAACAAAAAAATCTGATAGATGCTATTCATACTTTTTAAAATAATTGTTATCCTCTCTTTTTTATCTTCTCTACAATCGAACAAAGATTAAAGTTTCATATACATAATAAACATATTACACGTAATTCACAAGAGAAAGACAAATATTTTATGATTCCTTACGTCAAATCTATTTCCAAAACTTTCCTTTCTATGTTCCAAACTAGCCTTTTCTATCCCTAACTCGTTAAAAAGTTTCATAAAAAGAGAGAAAGATAAGCTTGAATTCCTATCCAATCAGAATGTAGTTTATAAGATCTCATGTGATTGTGAGGCGAGTTATATTGGTCAGACAAAAAGAAAATTAAGTATGAGATTACACGAACATATCTCTGACATTAAGAAGAATACTGGTTCTCCTACTGTCATAACTGATCATCATATTAATTTTGACCACAATTTTAGATGGAACGAGGTGAAAATTTTAGACTACGAATCTTCGTATAACAAGAGATTGGTGTTTGAAATGATTCACATTAAAAGATAGAAACAAGGTCTTAATAAACAAATTGATACTGAATCGTTGAAACCTGAAACTTACTCACAGATCATTCAATCTTTTTCTCCTTCTTAACTGCATTTTTTTTCTATTCATTTCTCCTCTCCCCACTCTCTTTTCCCTCTACTTTATTTTCTACTTTTCCTCTTAGGCTTCCCTTCCTTTTTAGTTTACCACTTCAATCTTCTTGTCTTTATATGAGTATTTTACATTGTCTCTGAGCATCTTAGAGAGATGATTACATTCAATCTCATCGCATTGCTTAATAATAGATAACATATCACTTTGACACACAATAAAAAGTATTTATTCTAAATTTATTTGTGACTAAATTAAATATATCAGGAGTACAAATTAGTTCGGTTCATTTTTTTGTGTTCAAAAATGCATTTATTTCAGAACAAAATGAATGAACAGATTAATTAAACTATTGTCCATCACTGGCTACTACTTTTCCCCATCTCTCAGGCAATTTTCGAATTTCATCTCGAAAAAATGACTCGTCTTTGGAGGCGATCTAATTTTGGAGCCAATTTTTGATTTCTGCGAAAGAAGTGAACCGATGACTTGCCAAATCGTGCTGCATCCTTCGGAACAAGCAGTAATCAGAAAGAGCAATGTCCGGAGAATATGGCGGGTGCGGTAAAACATCCCATTTGAGCGTTTCCAAATATTTTTTTACGACTTTAGCGACATGAGGCCGAGCGTTATCATGAAGAAAAATAACTTTATCATGTCTTTGCTCGTATTCCGGCCGTTTTTCTCGCAATGCACGGTTCAAACGAATCAATTGTAGCCGATATCGATCGCCCGTAATGGAATCGCCAGGTTTCAGCAGCTCATAGTAAACAACACCCT